ACTTAAAGGGTTCCATGAATACCTGGCACATACAAGTATGCTATGCATCATTACCTATCACAAGATGATAAACTCTCTCACTAATATCCATCTCAATTCCAGTTATTCCCAATAATAGACTTCATTTTGTCCAGTATCATTAGCGGAATGAGCCAGTAAAACCCATTAATGGAAGTAATTGCTATTAACTAATGCATGTTGGAGCTTGTTAGACACAATGTGGCTGAGCATCCCAGCCAACCAAACCCTCTGGAGGGGAATTGCTGTACTGTGATTGATTGAGGGTTCCCATTGTTGCTTGTGTATGATTATTTTATCTTCTCCCATGCCTTGTGCCATTGTGTTCTTATGCATTTCTTTGTGTGAAGTATTATTGTGGAGTGCTGTAACTGCATTTTATATTGACAGAGCTAAAATTAAATGACTGCCAAAAGTTATTCCACAGAAGGACAAGAGAGTGAGTCTCTCAGTAGAAAAGAAGCTTGAAATTGTTGAAAAGCTTGAAAAAGGATCTTCTATCTGCCATTAAGGCAGAGCATGGTGATTGACCTTTTCACTGCCTTCATAAACTCAACACAGGAGGACGCATCAGCTGCGCCAGGCAAGCACAAAGAAGTGCATGTACTGTAGCCCCAAAATTTAGATAAATTGAATTTACTGTATTTATACAGTATTGAACTGAATTTTTTTTTACAGATGTGTGAAAATCTTGTATTATTTAATGTATATACAAGGGGACAAAAATAATTCCTTCCATTAACAGACAGGGGCCAGCATAAATTAGTGTAGTATTGGGAGGGTTTACTGTAGTGTAACACGTATCTTGCACATACAATTCTCTACATTACATCACACATTTAAAAAAGTTATAGTAATTAGGATAAACTTCAAGGACAAATAATGAAGCTACATACAGTGATGTTTGTCTTTATTTTCTAATGTATTTAATTATAAAACAGTTCAGAAACACGTTTATGTAAATTGCACATTGAGCTTTATACAGTGTGTTTGCTGTTATCAAATAACCAATGGAATGTTTTTGGTGTCAGGCTTTTATTTAAATTTAGAGAACTTTTTATGTGATACAGGTACAGTAGACTGTTGAGTGAACATATCTGCAAAATGGACACTTCTCACACAAAATATTTAATTTTCAAAGTCTGGGTATAATTTGTTTTCCATTTATTTTTTCATCAATTTTTTTGTTCTTTACAAAGTATGTAATTTCACTAAGTTTCTCATGCCTGAAATAGCATTCAAAAGCAGAGGAGCTTCACTCACAATCAACATTACCACAGTGCTGTATTCCTGATGCAAAGTACCAGACCTTTTTCATCAATATAGAAAGATACAATTTTGAATAGTACAGTACCAATAAAAAACTGAGTTCTGACACCAGAGAAATCAAATCAATAACAATCTTATTACTTATTTTGTACACAACCAAATAAGCAATGGAATATTCAGTCCAAAGTTAATAGAAATACAAAACTTGTATTATACATATCTGTATATGTATATCAATTACAGATGAGAAGAAACAGCAGGGCTAGGGGAATCATTTCATGCTACATCATAACCAAAACCCCTAAAACTATCATTCATATTAGAAATACTGTACAGTACATACTGCACTTTCTCAAAATCAAGAATCCTGTCTGATATACTACCACCTGATTGACATGATCCTGTGATGATTTCTTTGATGGTTCAGATGATTATTTGTAGCATGAAATACTCCAGTCTAAAAGTTTTTTGGATGTGCAAGTTTTAACCCTGGGCATGGGTACATGACACACAATAAACTAATTACTGTATTAGCAAGTGTTACTCCACACCGAGTCAGTTTCTCTTGTCCAGGCAGGGGATAACCACACATTAAACAGGGAAATGACACGTCACATGAATTTCATATGCAATACAAAATGAATATTGAAGAAAATTTATAGCATCATGGAATTCAGATACTTTTATAATCAACAGAGAATGAAAATTTCCACATTTTCTTGTCACCAATGTTATGTATTGAGTCAGTGAGCTCAATAAGATGGAGTAAGCAATATTCATTGTCCACATGCTATATGCTGAAGTGTGATCATCCACCATGTTACTAACCACAACAAAGTGGTGCTGTGTTATGAACACACACCTGTCTGTGTTAATTTAATTACACAAACAGAATCTAAGCATATTATGATGTAGAAGTCTTACAAAACAAACAAAGACATACTACTGAACATAATATCATATACAGTATAATGTTTTAGACAAACAATTATGATGCTATGTTTAAACAGGATGCTACTAAGATGATACCATCTTAATGCAATACCCACACCATTATACTATCACACTTTATGCCAATTTAAAATGCCAGATGTGTCCTATTCATTAATGCAGTTTACCCATTAATTTAAAACCTGTGTAGTGGCTGCAGTGAAGTAACAGCAATAAATGTTTTGGAACTGTCCTGGTGTGTACTTTACCTGACACACCTAACACTACAGTATACTGTATGTTATCTTTCATCAATTAACTAATTGCATGTCTACAACAAAGCATGTAAGTTATCCAAGTGTGATGAAGTCACACGATGCTTGTAGAAAAAGCAATCTAGACACAGTACTGTGCAACCCAAAATATTCTTTAAAGATCAAACAGGACAGCCTACCCTAGTGTTCAATTTAAGTGTAACTTTATTAATACTATACAAATGTTATGCAGTTTACTATAAATAACCCAAGTTTTTTGTTTTTCTAGTCTGTAGTACAAGTCATGTCTGGCCAAGTGGCAGATATTAAAAAAGTTTGTGGCTGTGATTACCATATTAAGGTATTTGTCATTCACACTTGGTTATTTCTTTCTCCCCGATTGGACACATTATTTACATTACAGTAAGTATAATAATAAAGATATCTTACGAAAGTAACTTGGAATAAAGCAGATATCTTCTCCCAAACCTTTACCTTATTTTATCAGCAAATTTTTAAAGACAACACCTGCCACTTTATTTTCCAATCGATTTTTAATAGCAATTTTACATATACTGTAAAAAAAATTTAATCCATAAAACGGAAACCAAGTGGGAGAAATGAAAACAGCCGAATGTAAACTCGTAAAAGTCATGGTGAGTGTCTTTACAATTATCGCTGTCGTATGAACCGCCGATAACTGCTGATAACAAAACCAAAATGAACTTAATATAACTTAAACTGACCAAACATCAACCAATGATCATTAAATTTCAATTAGGTTTATTATTATCTTAACAATATTTTCAATACCGGGTTTCAGTAAAATAGCTTCATTAAAAAATCCCTAAATAGTATATTGTGACATTCACTTTTGTCTCTCTACTATATTATTGCAGTGATACAGTGGTACTATGATGCCTCTCACTGCTGCTACCTCAGTCAATCTCCACCTGGGCCAGATGTGTGATGAGTGTTGTCTAGTGTGATCTTCCTAACATGGCAAGGTGTCTCTGAACACTCTGGTTTCCTCCTGTATTTACACTGAATTAGCTTGACTGGCAAGTACAAAAGTAAATGATCAAGAATATAAAGTAAAAACAAATTATAACTTTTATGCTCTCATTATTATACTAGACAATTGCAAAGAACAAAGAACATACAAGTACTCACCAGCACTAGCACCACATTTTCACATACAGTATACAATACAGTACAGCATAGAGTACATTACAAAAGTTTCATAATGAATATAGAAGAGACTGTTAAAAGTCTATCTGATGATGTTCTACAAAGATAATGACCTATAAACGTGACAAGGAATAAGATAATAAACACTTGAATTACAGATAACCACTGCAATGTTGTGATCTGGGTACCATAGCAGACCAAGAACTTCAGTAACCAATGACCAATTTACTCTCCATCTTATCATAGCTCAAGCAGTACAGCACATAAAGAAGAAAATGAAACTAGTACAGAAAAAGGCATGTTTCCTTTTTCAATATCTAGCATATTCTTGTGAACATGAAACAACAGAGATAAGATATAAAATAAAAAAAATAATGCAGTGATTTGTTATAGGTTAAACCAACATAGCCTATCTCTGTATCATAACATGAATCTTCTGCTTTATAACTCAGTTATAATTTACCTTTATAATTAAGAATATTATGATTAGTAGTATTTAACTCATGACAATACTCCAGTACTATCATAATACCAGAGTCTACATTACTGGACGACACCGTGTTAGCTTCCATAAAATGCAAGCCAAAAATCACATCTTATATGGACCAACTTTAACAAGGCATTTTCCATATTACATTTTTAGAAACTACATCTCTTCTTTACTATCTTTTGTTAACTAATCTACAATTGTAAAATGCCTTTCACACCCCCCTCCTTCCCTTCTAAATATAATAATTCCTCCCATAATAACTAGCCTTATCTGTTCTCTTCCCATAGTCCATCTTAGTGTGCATTTTTTTGCTTTTGAATCAATGCAAGTTCTTTATGAGACAATTTCTTGCATTTGCACAAGTAACATATGACAAGGAACATGCTACAGTTCCTGGGGCCCTGGATTCTATGGCAAGAATGGGGCAGAGCCACGAGAAAGGATTCCTTTATAAATTAATTGAATGCTTAAAAAGAGTTGAAACACAGAATATAACAGCTGATAAAGTACTACAGTACATGTCATATACAATTAAAGAGGCAAGTAAAAATTGCTTTAGTCCCAATACCATTGTTGAGTTCTCTCTTGCTGACGATAAGAAGAATACCAATTAGCGATCAACATTTTACAAAATTGTTTACTTCCTTGTGGCTTAGTTCCCTGACATGAACAACAGCAGGGGAAACATGTACATATAACAGAGAGAGATTATATATATATATATATATATATATATATATATATATATATATATATATATATATATATATATATATATATATATATGTGTGTATGTGTGTGTGTGTGTTGTGTGTATGTGTGTGTGTGTATGTATGTATGTATGTATATATATATATATATATATATATATATATATATATATATATATATATATATATATATATATATATATATATATATATATATATATATATATATAATGACCCCAACTATTACACTTACTACTGGTACATACATACAACACAACTGTGGAACATCCTCCCTCTTAAATTTTTATTTAGTTTACTTTAGTTATCATCTTATGCCAAGATTTCATTATGTAAAATACTACACTTGGAGGATGCTACACTAGAGGATTCTTCATACAAAATGAACTGATGCTTGTGAGTGATACTACATACAGGGATGACACAATGAGATGATTCCAGCCCTAGATGGTGGTTCCAACTAGATATGTTTACCAGCTTCAGCAAACAGCCATACTGGAACACCACATAGAGTAGCAGTCATTCATCACATCACTAACATTACATTAAATGTCTTGGACCATCTCTACCTAAGGTTTCCACTTTGTCATTTCAATTAATACAAAGTTTTTATAAAGTTTCTCAGAAGACATGTTCCATTACCCAGCACACTTATTTAAAATACCACCACTCATTCTTTGGTAACCTTGTGTGCTTCCTTAGGCTATGTAATACTGTACTGCCTTAACTGCATTGAGCATCAACACAAAACTTTACCATACAAGTTTTTCGTTTCAAATGGACATGTTGCCATCCTTCACTTTATAAGTATTTTCAAACCAAGTACAGTACCAATAGTTCATGGTGATATTAGATCTAAAATTCTTTATATTTACAACCACTCAACATTGACTGTACAACCTACAAAGTGCCACTGTATGGATCTACAAAATGTGATATAAGGTCATTTATCTTCTTCCAGTCCAGTAGTCCTGTGTCACGGGTCACAAGTATACGTGTACTGTAGCAGTTTTCCCACATTCAAATTCTTATATGTAATCTTCGAGGTCACTTCTCCGTGTGGATCACTGTTTATACTGGAAAATAAGTTGTTGTGGAAATATATACATTAAAAACTGCTCAACACTTGTCATTAAAGAATACTGGTCTCTTACCCTATATGGCTTTTTGTAACATGGAAGTGCTAACCTTTACAATATATGGACCATGAAGCCACTAAAAAGGTATAAAAAGTGAATAACCTTATAGAACCTAGTCATTGTGTGTGTGTATGCCTGAATTACAAATCTTGGGAGAAACTAAAGGTGAGGAGCATCAACTTTCCTCGTATGCAATTACCTGGGCAGTTGATAATATGGTAATTAAATGACTAGATCAACTGGTGAAGGAAAGTGTGTGTCCATCACCAAGAAAAAAATAAGAAGATTCTTTTAGTTGTCATTACTTATAATTATATGAACATGTTTTTCTGAACACAACTAAATGTCATTTTTATGAATCTATTAATCCTAGCTATGTGCCAAGCATAGTGGTTTTAAAGTTTATATTTTTAAATGAATTAATGAAAATATAATACAATAGAATAGCTATCCTTCTTCTCTTTACAACTTTACATGCAAATAAAGAAGAAAATAGAAACCTTTTACAGGAAACTCACCAAACTAGAAACAATGATGTGCAAATATTTACATGTGTTAAGACCTAAATAACAAAACTTAATGGTACAGAGGACATATCTCATGACAATCATGCATGAACAAGACTCTTTGACGAAGTAGTAATAATCTGGGATACATTTAGATAATACATGAACTATCACAGGTGAAAATGTCCAAAATAATGATCATATAAACAAAAGAGATCCTTTCCTTTAGAATGTCTGTTTCTTCTACTTCAATAATTATAGTACCTCAAACTTCAATTCACATTATCATATCCAAATACTGTACTAAAACAGAAAAAAATCATTGAAGTAAATGAAAATTATATTAACCTTGTTTAATACACTTGACCCTGAATACTAAAGATAGTACTATACACTCGCCTCTTTCTAGTCCAACATATTGGTAGTCCAACACTTTTTAACTGCAACATAGCTCTCAACAATCCCATGATCTAATTTGCTAGTCCAGCACCTCATAATATAATATGAAGGTATACAGGCTATCTATATTTACTCTCATCATAGTACAGTATTCATGAAATATGATTCCGCTAGACTCCACATTTGATGAAAATTACTGGACTATAATTGACTAGTTATGACCCCTCTGCTGGAGTTTGGTAATATCAGCTTGACACTGGCTGAAACCTCCAAGCCATTTATCGCTTCCCAAATCCTGCTTATGTGGGGAAGGGAAAGAGGATCCACAGCTAATATACAGGTATATAAAACCCTTGTTGATGAATGCCATAACTAAACACCTCCCAGTGGTTATGCCCAGTCAAAGACCAAAACTCTTCCGAACCTTTTCAATTCAGCTGATGCAAGTATTCTGAAACAGACTAGTAGCCCCAGTGATGCTTCTTGTGAATTATGAACTGAGCAGAGGTGTAACAGCCAAGCTGACCAGGTTTTAGGAAGTGACAATTAACAGTCTGAAAAATATACTAGTCTGAAAAGCCTCTGTAACCAAATATGCCCGAATAGAGAGAGGTTGATGTAGTGTAGTTCAATGATCAGGCCATTACATGGACTGAACAGCTTTCCCAGACACAGCACAGAAAAAAGCTTAGTGTCCTAGAAAGACTCATTTAATATGATGATTTCTTTTTCCTTAAAGAAAAGATTTTTAGTGGACATGGATACTCTTTTAATACCTACGATTTAAATGAGTGGTGTGGTGTGGCTTAGCATGGTGTAGTATGGTGTAGAATGCTGTGGTATGATGTGGTGTGGTGTCTGTGAATAATTAAGTAAGTATTTAGTCATTCAACCTGCAACTAACATGTCCATGCTTTAACTGTGAGTAGTTCTGTAATGAATATGCCGTGTATAAAAATTTCATTGAAATAATTGTTTCCAAAAATAATATTTTATAATTATGACTACAGTATGACTATATACTGTATATTATAATATAGTCCCCTCTTTGTGCAACCCCAGTTTCACTGGCCTATACTGTATCTCTAATTCAATCCTCTATATAGGACACAGTTTTACAAACTTTTATCCTAACAGCAAGAGTTCCTGTGTCAAGAAACAAACATTTATAACTTAAAGGAAGTTTACAGAATAGAGGAAGAAATGGACAGGATAATATCACTTCCAAAACATTAGGTTCTGGATAACTGAGGCAGCAGTCATGAAAATAAATGCAAAGACAATGCACAATAAACCAGTACACCAGCACCGCTACAGAGGCAACATCACACTGGGAAATTTCAGAAAACAACTAGCAAATAAAACTGATCTTCTGAATTGCTGAGTTTTACAATGAAGTATAATGAATAAAATAGATGGACACAGTAAACTTTGACTTATACTTTCAGTTATAAAGTTTAGAAATACCGTAGTACTCTAATACAAGTCTAAAGTTTATACTAATTATTAGTTAACAAATCTTATGTGTTGTAATGAGGAACAATAATACACCCATCAAGTTAATAAATTAGAGAAATGAAGGTAGCATAGGTCGCTATTATCAATCTGGACCCAAAAGGGAATAATGAAACTAAATCTAACATATCAAATGATGAACAACAACTGACTGCCTGAGTTCCTGGCCAGAGTATAAAGATGACAATTAAACAATGTCAAAGTGAAGGCTGGTGGTATGGGTGCTGATAAGACTATTAATTTACATCATCTTTGTTTCTGTAAGTCACACAGTGTGATATTATCTTAATAGAAAATAAATATATCTAAATCCAAGGAGATTGTCAGTAAAATAAACTTTAGTGAAGTAAGAAAACATTATCCATTAAAGGAATAACTTGTAGTAAAACTTGGCACCATTAAAGTGACTTTTTTCATGCTTACTCTTATAAAGTACATTTTTTGTGAAGATACCAAAAATACCTGTACTTAAATTCTTGAGCTTACAATTTTGAGGTGATTTCTTTGTTATATACTTACAAATATGAAATAAAGAAGCACCCTTAATGATGTTACAACTCATTATCACATTGCACACATCTTGTACTGTGAGTAAACTAGTTCTTCATCTCCTCAATAATAAATCCATAAAACTTAAATTTCCTTTGGCAGTAATGGCATTCAATCTTACTGAAAACAAATCTATCAAGAAAATCCTATTAAAATAATATAATACCTATAATCCTGAAGTTTTAGTTCATCAAGACAATCTATTAAAATAATATATTACTATTATCCTGATGTTTTGGTTTTCATTATCATAGGAAATAAGTGTTATGTTGGGTTACATAAACTTACTCAGAGATACAAGAAAATATTCTCACCAAAGGTTGTAGCTGTTACAAACTAATGATATCACTAGTATTTGTCTTTTATCAACTGGTTCATACCACCAATAAGTATTAAAATTCTTTGTTATTGTGCTACATGAAAATGAGGAAGACAGTGCCGGATATATGCTGTGTCAATCATTTACTAAACAAAATATTTACTAAATAAAAGATTATAAATAGAAAACATAAAAAACTCAACTTTTATTTGAAAATGTGAATGAGCTTGGCAAAAAATGTATGGTAGTTATACATACAAAATGGCACTATCAAGACCAAGTATTTCACTATTGGTCCCAAATATTGAGAAAAAGTTTACAGCAAAAGAGTAAATGATAGATTTCATCCAGTCCAAAATATGTTGATGATTACCTGAATAACAACAACAAAAATAGTAATTTTCAAATGACACTGAGGAAGGTTATTTTCAATACCTCTAAAAATTCTAATGACTTTCTATATTGTTACTGAGTCATATATCTTCATAATAACATAAATCTAAACAGCAATATTTTACAAATATATGAAAAAAGATGAGTCTTGAACACTTTATAGTAAAAGAGTAAAAGGTTCAAAGGAAGCAGCAGCATGCACACACATACAAGAAACATTATACACTCATTAACTTAAATGAGCCACTCACAAATACAAACAGTTAGTTAACCTTCAATAGGCATCAAATGTCTAACTGCTTCATAATGACTTATGGAATGACAAAAGTAATTCACTCCTTAACCTTCACTATAAAAGTTTCCAGAAACACCTGTTTGTTCTCACACATAGAAGATTGTCTGTCCACTAGATTCATGCATGTCTTTTACTCTGGCAGATGTCATCACGGCTGTAAGAATCACACCTCTGGATAGAAAGACATCCCATAAAGTGTCGTGAATACCATTGTACTTCTCCACATGCTTCCCAGGAAGATCCTATCAACTTGATGGGGATTCAGAAATTGTTCTACAATCCTAATAATGTGCACAATAAAGAATCCAACAACACCACGAAGAGAACCATGCGGTTAGTTATTAAGCCAACATCCTTTAGTAGAAGTCAGATGATTCGAGAGTCTTGCACTGCTTGGAGAGAGTGGCATACTGGCCATGGTTGGGACCCAGAGAGTGACTGTGACTGTGAGTGTGGTGGTGGTGGTTGTGGTGGTTGTCACCACGGCCCATTGTACTTACTGTTGTCGGGGCCGACCCACTTCCTCCTCCCAAGCTACCCATTCCATCGCTGTGGTACAGACGACCATTTCTGCAAAATCAATGGATTTTTTATTAATATCCGTAAAATCGTTGATTCTTTGATCAGCTAACTAAATGAAGATGACATAATTGCAAACTATGAATATGAAAACAAAAATATTTACTGTAGTTCCATTTACCTTGGCACAAATATCATGACTCCTTAAAGCGATTAATATGATTTATATCCTAAAACACAATGTTCCAATGAATTAATGAATTTATACTAATACATAAGTTGTTTAATTCATTAAACAAGAGCTTCTTATAATAAGTCCTAAGCTATCAAAACAACAAACATTAAACTTCTACAGTGCTATACTCTCAATATCAATCATAATCCATAGTTGAAGACAGATGTTCCTTAACACTCTCGTGAACCCTGCATGCCCTGTCCATCACCCTCAAGGTGAACTTGGTGTGGCAAGCTCTTGCTTAGTTGTCACTTTTATTCATGTAAAATATGTTTATAAACACTTTAATTTAATGCACATTTCTAGTTATGTAATACAGTTAGTGTACACAAAATTATCGTATACTGTATGCATCAAAAGTACATATACTGTACAGTAATTTATTTCCTGGGTGGTAGCACACATGATTTATGTTCACCTCAAGACAGGTAACAATGAAAACTACATCTGCCTCCAAGCTAACAAACACCTACATATGCACACACTACCAATAGAAAAATTATTTCATTTTTGAGGGATACTCAAACCAATTCAGAGAACATTAGATAAAGTAATTATTTATTTTTACTTTTTGGAGGCAATGACAAATATTTTGTCATTGGTTCATGAGAGTGTTAATACAAAATGTAACTACACATATGACTATATTTTCAAATTTATTATAAAATACTGATGAAAACATGGGGTTGAAGCTTGATAAAGAAATTTTTAAGAAAATAACATTCGCTGAAATAAAGGAGCACAATAAACACACACCAAAATACTATGACTTTACGTGCAACCAACCTTACAGTCTTCCAGTACAGTACAGTACAGTACAGTACAGTACAGTACAGTACCAGCCCACAAACACAAGTTATCATTACATGAAGAAACAGGCAAACTAAACTTCACATACCCACTCTTAATTATACAGATACAGGGAAAAATTTTCCATTTAAAGAAAATTACTAAAGATTAAAAAAAAAAAAATAGTTCCGATTCTGAAATCCCGTTTTATGATGAGGGGCAAATAAAGAGTTCATCCTGTACTCTATATACCAGTTTGATCATGATGTTTACCATAGTTTTACAGTGTATTAGGACTCCACAACTCCAAAAGAAAAGGCGTCCTGAATGTTTTGGATGTTGTTACTCAAAGCAGATAATAGCTGAAGCTTGATGGTTTCCTTTCAAGAAAAACCTTTCACTAACACAAAATGTAATTAGGATGCAGAAAAAAAAAAAAAAAAATAAGACATGGAAGAAGTTTTGTGCAGCGAGCAAATCAGGGTCTGCTCAAGTGGCATGGATATAGTGACAGAATTGGAAAACTGGTGACAGAGTGAATGATTCAGAGGAGGAGGAAGAGGGATGAATGACACAGTAGAAATAAGGGTGATGGACATCCAGGAGTTAAGCATATATATATATATACAGTAGTACCCCGATTTACATGGTCAATTGAACCCACAGGGTACCGCGGAAAGTGAAAACCGCGTAAAGTGAACAACAGAACATATGGGATTAATTCCAATAGAGACTGGCCCGACCCCCAAACTCCACTTTTTCCGACACAATACCTATGTTGTAGTAAAAATAACATCTAAATTTTATGATGGTATGCTCACACAATTAATATTTAAGAGAAATACAGTCGCCAGGTTAATGTCCATTCAAATAATGGACTCAAATCCCCCCCCCCCCTCTTCCCAGCTCACTGGCCCCTACCTCTCTGAGAAATGATTGGGTGAAACACTAGATTTTAACGTTTAGTAATAAATAATACCTCAGACTAAAGTTAGGATAATATAATTGACATTTCTGGATTCCTTGCAGGTCAGGGAATATTTTGAATGTAAACTTCATATATTTTGCACAAAAGATAAAATATTTGCTTTGTGTAAACCAAATTATTACATTAGATCTAAAATTTGTATGTCTAATGCAAAATCCATGATGTTTATATTCAAAATGATCATCATATTGTAAGAATTCCAGCAATGTAAATTATATTCTGGTTGAGTAATTTGTATGAATGTTATGAGCTAAAACAAATATCTTCAGTTAATAAAAAAAAAAATATTCTTCACGACACTATCTGTCAATCAAAGTACCCCACCTTGCCTCCCCCCCTCCTCACACTCACGCCAGCCAATCAAAGTACCCCACCTTGCCTCCCCCCCTCCTCACACTCACGCCAGCTGGGTCGGTGGGTCCCAACCCTCCCCCCACCTTCCCTCCCTACCAGAGAAATGTTGGGTGAAAAAACTAGATTTTAACTTTTAGTAATAAATAATACCTCAGACTAAAGTTAGGATAATATAATTGACATTTCTGGATTCCTTGCAGTTCAGGGAACATTTTGAATGTAAACTTCATATATTTTGCACAAAAGATAAAATATTTGCTTTGTGGAAACCAAATTATTACATTAGATCTAAAATTTGTATGTCTAATGCAAAATCCATGATGTTTATATTCAAAATGATCATCATATTGTAAGAATTCCAGCAATGTAAATTATATTCTGGCCGGGTAATTTGTATGAATTTTATGAGCTAAAACAAATATCTTCAGTAAATAAACAAAGAAATATTCTTCAAGGACACTATCTGTCAATCAAAATACTCACCCTAGCTGGGTGGGTCCCTACCTCCCTACCCCCCCCTCCCTACCAGAGACGCTTTGGAAGAAAATAGTATATTTACATTTTTAGTAATAAATAATACCTCAGACTAAAGTTAGGATAATATAATTGACATTTCTGGATTCCTTGCAGGTCAGGAAATATTTTGAATGTAAACTTCATATATTTTGCACAAAGGATAAAATATTTGCTTTGTGGAAACCAAATTATTACATTAGATCTAAAATTTGTATGTCTAATGCAAAATCCATGATGTTTATATTCAAAATGATCATCATATTGTAAGAATTCCAGCAATGTAAATTATATTCTGGCCGGGTAATTTGTATGAATTTTATGAGCTAAATAAAAAAAAAAAAAAAATTATAATTCACAGCATATATGAGTAGATGCACCGCGGAAAGTGAAAGTCCGGTTCTGGTTCTGGCAAGGTACCGCGTAAATGAGAAATCGCAGAAAGTGAGGAAAGTGAAACCGTCTAAAGCGGGGTAATACTGTGTGTGTATGTATGTATGTATGTATGTATGTATGTATGTATATATATATATATATATATATATATATATATATATATGTATGTATGTATGTATGTATGTATGTATGTATATATATATATATATATATATATATGTGTGTGTGTGTTTGTGTGTTTGTGTGTGTTTACTTATACCACCACCATATATCTGTTAGAAAGGACTTGAATAAAAAGAAATGTGAACCAACACCTAGCTGTAACTTAAGAGTAAAGAAAGTGAAGGTAGTGAAGTGTAGTGCTAAGTATTTCTAAGTCTTTGTGTACAAAAATAAGAGAGTAGTATTTTACAGTACATATTATCTGCAATGCTAGGAATGCATCCCCGAATGTATGAGACCCACTTGGTGGATAAGACATACTAACCAGAGGTACAAGATAAACCCACCAGAGCAGTGCGTTTGACTCACAGTTCTCATTTTCAGCTGCTACTCTTCAGAGAGTGAATCGGATTTGTTTAAGATCTATTAAATCTGAGGAATTCAAACATAACTAAAAAAAAATAAGAGAGACAGAGAGAGATTTCTGAGAAGCAACAAAAGCTTCATACAAATTATCTTCCTTACCACCTACAGTAGCATATTATAATAAAAATATAAATGAGTTGTTGATATAATAGTTTGAGTTTTCAATTTTTTGCGAGGAGGCATGTGACTATGCTATGCACCCCAGTACAGGGTCATGACCTGTACTCTGAAGAACACTCTACTGTACTAAAGTGGTGTACTGAAAACCACAACATATATCTGAACTACAGTAGATTATTTTTTTCTCTAGTCAGAGATGGTGCACAGTAAAACATAAATCAAATATGAACAAAACAGGATATAATAAACCCCCAATAATACATAAACTATAAAGACATGATTTGCATCAACGTGATGACTGGATGAATATTTTTTTCCTACATGGGTCTCTCCACATCAATGTGGTTTTTGCTACCTTGGCAGGGTGGCCAAGGATGTCATATGAGACTCAGTGTACAGCATATTGTGAGATGACATGTGGAGTGGCAGGAGAAAGGGGTGGGAAGACAGTCTGGTCACTGATTGATCTGTAGTGGAGGCTTGTGGTGCCTCATTCTTAGTGGTTGGCTGCATGGCAGTGGTGTGTGGGGGCCACAGACCATCATGCAGCAAACTGGTTGTGGTGAGTTGTGGTCTGGTCAACATTTCCTGTTAATTAGTTACAACTTGAATCTATGCTAAATCACGTACACAACAGCACAGATATCTACAGTTCAATATTTTAACTGTAATAAAAAATATCCTAAAATTGTTCGGTTGTGGTGTGTGTGTGTAGCAGTCTGAACAATCAGCAACATGGTTAACATCTCACATCATTTTTAAACAGCCTGATCTACACTTTCTCATATGCAGTACACTACAGCAGTTACTGCATTGGCAAAAGCCAGATGTGTAATTGATGGATTACGTAGTGGTGGCTCCAGGCAGTCATAACCTATACACTATCTTCCTCACACACTTACTCCCTTCCCTGGCAGACAACCAAACTAAACCTTAATTTACTAAAACATATTTAAATATCTTTAATATAGACTTGATTTGGTTTGGTTCATTTTCTCTGCTGTAATAATGGTAGTGGGAAGGTAGTGTGGGTGTACTCGGGGAGGAGCGGTGGGGAGGGGGTTGTTCGCCAAGGGGCCAATGTTAGCTCTGTGCAAAGCAGCCGTTTTTTTATCACTGTAAACAGTTTTGTGATATAACCCTTATTTATTACATAGATGTTAATATTTCCTTGATTTACATCTGATTTATGTCTTCCATGAGGAACTTCATGACTTAATGTCAAGACAGGTACGAGAATTATATACTTGTATACGTATTGTATGTATATGTCAGGGTGATGGTAATTTGGCCTCTTCCCATGATAAATTTCTTGGTCCATTCTTGATTGACTTTGGTCTATAGTCTGGCTGTTTGATGGTCCTTTGGGAGAAATGTCTCCTGGAATTTTTTCCTCTCCACTGAGCAATAAGTTCTTTCCAACGACTGGGATAAGATGATGAAAGACCAATAACCTGAATCAGAGAGGCTGTAAAAGGTCTTGGGTTTGAGAAAGTATTATTCCTAGTTCTCCAATTTATGTGTGTCTTTTCAAACAATTTTAGTGAAATTAGGTTAACATATACCAGCAAGCCCATAAAAAAAAACTTCCAGAAAGTTTTTTTTTTTTATCTCTTTTCCCCACCTCAATGTAGTTTAAAACTTATCTGTTACACAATGACAGTCTGCTGGACACATACTGCTCACCTCAAGTAAAGGCAGAGACTTGTGTACCAGCTGCTAATTTTACACCTACAGTAAATACACCTTAAGTGAAGAAAGGGTGACAATCATATCTGTATCCGAAAGACTTGACAGCAACTGGTCAACATCAGAAGCTTCAAAACTTTGCTGAACAAGTCTGAAATGATGGAAAATAGCAACACTGCCTGACAGTAGATAAGCAATGGAAGCATCTCTGAGTTATTTTCTATGTCTAGGACAAAGTTAAAATGTTTTTTCTTTTGAAATTGTTTTCAAGGTCCAGCAATTCTTCTGCCTTGATGGTAACATCCAAATCATTTAGAAGATTTTTTTCTTACAGAACTGTGCAGTCCAGTACTGAGTTGAAAAAACATCTATGGTCTTTAGTTTATCCACTGTAACAATGTGGTGGACATCATGGTCTAGCTAGTTAGCACAATACAGGACCACTATCATGGCCCCAGATTATAAAAAGTGATAACAAGTTTATGGTATAGTACAGGGTTATTTATAACTGCAGGGTGGCCAGCAAGATGGGTAGTTGTGAGTTGTAATATAAAAGACACAAGTTCTATGTAAATTATCTATCCATCTATATCTCTGATGGGATCACCTGAAGATTAGCTCTCCTCTTCTCCAGCCATTTCACCTGATAATTAACCCTTAATTGGCAGGTAAGGGTTCTCCATTTCCCACAAATGCACAAAAATAGACTGCAAGGAACTTGAAACTTTTACAGATGATGGCTGCTGTCCCTACAGCTAACTTCCAAAGATGATTACATTACTGCTGCTTAGGGGTTAAATGCCCTAACACTACCTGTGTGAGGTTAGGTTAGATTACTGTAGGTTAAGTTAGGTTATGGTTAGAGTTGGTTAGCATTAGGGTGATTAATTATCAGGTGAAATGAGCTGGAGTACCTAATCTTCAGGTGATCCATTTGATGCCTGTTCCTAGTGTGTCCTGAGGGGTGTTCACATTTTGAATCTTCTGATAACATTACAGTCAGTGAGTGACCATCTTCACCTCTTCAAGTGTTAAAATCTCGGCACCAAAACTTGAAAAATTTGTTGTACCAGTAACAAAGACAATTACATTATGTAATCCATCCCAGCGTAGGCCAAGATCACCCTATTGTCTCGTGGTTTATAAAGCAGATTATTTTGACCTTTAGATTAGTGCCTCAAATCAGTAATGGTTCAGGACATTTTCCAGAGATTTTAATGATTTCAGTTTTAAGATTCATTAATAATTCTCTTTAAAAATATGAAACTTATAAAATTGAATGTTGTTTTGAATCTACATATCATACAAAGACTTGTACATAATTATTTAGTGGAAGATGGCAACTATATGTGGTGCTGCAAGACTCCAGTAAGATAATGGTACAGTATTCTGAACACAATATAAAAATACATCCAAACCCAAGTTCTTTATTGTCTTTTTAACAAGTAAACTCATACAGATAGATAGTTAAGGCAGGCTACAAATACTGAAGATATTATTTTCACTTTTGTAAGCCTTTTCCCACTACATGGCACGGTGACTGGAAATAGGGGCCTACAAACTCTCTCTCTTCACTATTAAAAGGGAAAACTCATGAAGATTAGGAACTTCCACTTATTTCACCTGATGATTTAACACCCTAATGCTAAATGGGGAGGTTAGGTTAGGTTAGCCCTACGATGTCAAATTGTTAGGTGAAAGAAGTGAGAGATCGCAATGTTCATGAGATCCTTAAAGAGAAATTAAAAACACCAATAACATTATTATTCACAAAATGTTTACTTAGTAAGAAGTGTTGGAATACTATCTAGGTATGATGATGACAGCAGTTAACAGACACAAGAGGAATATATTGATCATCACACACTGAATCAGTTGAAAAACACTCAAATTGTAGTAAGTGAGTCAGTGTATGGCAGCAAAAGGTACACATCATGCATGAAGTACTGGAAGCTGCTGTACAGTAAGTGACAACAAGACTAAAAGACTGTACTAACAAAATTAAGAATCATTTATTAAATAATGGGAGTTGCCATATACATTCCACGAAGCATATTGTTATTATGTGTAAATTCTTCCTTGCATGTAGGAGCATCAGACAAGTGGAAACTTACTCAGAAAATCCACCAAGGTTTGCCGAGAGCAATTGAGAGAGGGGAAAATGAGATCATGTAAAGTATCTTTTAGCTGATTTTATCAACAAGGGTACAATAAGACACAAAACACAGTGGATTATGTGCTACAATTAAGCATTCTGGATGTTTTGTGTTGGCTTTTAATAATAAAACTGGTGCAAAATTAAGAAATGAAGATAAAAGTGAAATACAAAGACCCCTTTTATAACTGATGAAACAAGGCAAGTGACCTGTGAAATCATTTGCCAGAACACACCTTGACAGAGCTTGTCTTATCCTTGGGGAGGTACGGATTCTTGAGGCAGGGACACTGTCTATTTTGGTAAGTACAAATGATTGCTAAATATCCAGTTAAGCCAAAGTTTTGACAAAAGCCCTGACCTTGATCCATTGGTTACTTCAAACACCAGTGAGTTAACAGGTACACCAGGATGAACCTTGAATTAGTTTGTTTCAGTCAAGTCCCTCACTCATAAACTTGGGATGAAGGCATCAAACTATGAAATTTCTTGGCCCTCAGCCATAAATGAAGAACTGATCAATAATGGGGGACGCTTTATACAGTACATTGAAATGAAACAAAATTTCTCTCAACATCACATCACAATAAAGTGTCCACACAAAGTACTGTACCACACAATTCACCCCCACTGAAAGGCTCTTAACTTAAATTTTAAAAGCCATCATGAACTAGAGTAGAGATGTAATTGAGAAAAATTAGTACAGTATTATCGTCCAATATCCACTTATCCTTGATATCAATGAAACAAAGTGCAATACTGAGTGTGTACTGAAAAAGACAAGTCAAAGTAAAGTGTTAAGTTCTGGGAAGCAGTGGAATATAATTACTTGTTATCCCCATAAGAGTACTGTACATACTGTATATGAAACATAATCTTTGCTTGAAGCTGTTGTATCATGCACAGTAGTACAAAATATTTTATTTTTACTTCTAATACACCTTGTTAGGGGGCACCTCAGAGTTTGTGGAAAAAGGAGAACAATACAGTTCATACCCACCCAAATACACTCATGGTCCATTTACCCTATCTGTGCCTAGTGACTGGCCCTCTGAGAAGGTGTTCATCTGTCTTGTTTACCAAGATGCAAACACACTGTGGTCATCATTCCTCTGCATTTCTCAACATGAATACAAAATTCTGAGGCCATAAAAAAATTAAGAAAAGAGTACAAACTGTAATCTAGATAATCTGTATACTGTATGTGATCATTCTACATTTATGGGGAACCACTGTAAAGGAACTACTGTAAATAGCAAAGGTTTATACAGAAGTAGGCACAGTAAATTGTGATATTTAATGTCTGATTCCCAAGTTTATTCTTGAGGGTCTTCCTCCTGTACCTATTGACTCACTGGTTCTTGAAGCAACCGTTGAATTAGGATCGGAATTTGCTTCATAATCCAACAGTACTTATATTGGATGAGTGTCTTTGTCACAAGAGGGTTCATGGACAAGGCAGCTCTGGTAAAGGTGTTCTGGTGGGTGATCTTACAAGTCACATTGAGATATTTATGTTTAAACTCTTTTCATAAACAAGTAAATCAACATATAGTTTACGTCAAAATAAATGACAATAGGTTTGTATATCTACACCCCTTGTTTCCCGCCAAAATTCATAGGTAGGTCCGAATGCTAATTAAGCTACGATGTCTTAAACCTCAAGAGACGTATTTGTATCTTGGCAAAAATCCTACCACCACCCAAGTCCAATACCAAAACACTGTTAAGGCTCAAGGTCACACAGTCATTCACTCACCATGGAGGTCACACAATGATCAGCCAAGGATGGAACAAAAGACAATTATAGCAATGTGAGTGATGAAGATAAAAGTGTTGAACTGTAACAAAATTAGTACAGTAACATTCATTATGTAAGACATCAACACCCACCACAGCCCACTGACATAGCACCTCATAAAGTGCCTTTCACTTCATCTGTTTTCTGATTAAGGATCGGAGTTCATAAATGAGAATCTGAATAAATAGTGTTATTTATGTCCTTTGAAATAATTACATCCAGAAAAGATTTGCTAATTAAATAATTTGTTTGTTATTTATTACACTTTTAAAAACTTTCTAGTCTGACTCAAACTTTGGAGCAATTTATACATCTTACTAGCAGCCACACACTCCCTCCCTCTGCCACCATACCTAGCAGCCACACACTCCCTCCCTCTGCCACCATACCTAGCAGCCACACACTCCCTCCCTCTGCCACCATACCTAGCAGCCACACACTCCCTCCCTCTGCCACCATACCTAGCAGCCACACACTCCCTCACTCTCTGCCACCATACCCACAGCACACTCTCTGCCACCATACCTAACAGCCACACACACCACCCAACAGCCACACCTCCCTCTGCCACCATACCCAACAGCCACACACCCCTCCCTCTGCCACCATACCCAACAGCCACACACCCTCCCTCTGCCACCATACCTAGCAGCCACACACTCCCTCCCTCTGCCACCATAACTAACAGCCACACACTCCCTCCCTCTGCCACCATACCTAACAGCCACACACTCCCTCCCTCTGCCACCATACCTAGCAGCCACACACTCCCTCCCTCTCCATACAACTTTACCATAAACAAGGACTTGTGGAAAGATCAAAGTTGCTTCAGCCAACATACACAAGCATAAAAATATAACTAACAATATGATAAAAACACATACATTGGCGATATACCAAAAGATAACATTCACTCATACCTCAACACCAGTTAAAGAAAGTGTGGCAGACAACCTTGTATCCTGTACAAGACAGAGACAAATCCATCACTTGAAGAAAAGGCACCTACTTACTGCTTCCATGACCAGGTAAAGGCAACTCTTCAATACTAATCATCACTAATGTAATTTCCCGTAACAAAAGCAATTAACCATTCTGTACAAGAACACTATGGGCAGAGTGAGGCCTTGAAAACACAAGAGGAACCAACTATAAGTACTTCATCCTGTCAGCTCTGGCTGGTGTCAACTTTCTTTTTAAGATTTTACCATCAACTCAAGTTCAATTAACCCTTTTTGGACATACCCCGTATCAGTTGTGGCTCGGAATAATTGGAAGCCGAGATCCATGTCTACACAGAGTTAAGCACCATAAGAAAGCCTTGAGCAATACAAGACAACTATGGTGACAATTATCTTGTATATCTTACACGAGTCTTTCTTCCTTATTGTTAATGTGTAAACAAATTTCTTTTTCAAGCTACATATCTTCCACCTCATCATTCAGGTAACATCATTTGAAGCAAAGTACAATCACAAGTGTTGTGCATGGTGATAAACTTGACAGTTTCTAGTATGTACAATAACATTTGGATGTTGCTAGTACCGTACAGTGTTAATACACACATACCTCTCACTATGTCTCCTGGGTTCAATCCCCAGTTAGGTGTGAGAAAGGTGTTATCCAGTGTAACCCTGTTAATGGACAATGAAGGTCATAACAAAGAACAGACTAACTGCCTAAATGGCTAGTAAGCTGATAAGTGGTGGAAATGATAAACTGTTTAAGACTAGCTTCACTCAAAACTTCAACAAAGTCACTTCAACCCATAAAGGCAAATTTATAATTCTACTTAGACTTTTCACCCAAAACAGTGAAACAATCTGAAATATCTAGTGTTATTTGAGCATGCAAATTAAAAAATAAAAATAAAATAAATAAATACAAAAATTCTCAAGACCATTTCAACAAATGCTTGGCAAAATATTCTCAGAAAAATAATGCAGTACTGTACTGTCTCTAATAAAAGAGACAATGACAACACTACTGAGGAGTTAATTCTATCTTCTTGTTTCATAATGTATCAACACGGACGTCCTCAACTGTTCCTCTTAATGGTGCTGTACTCTAAACTGCTACTGTACAGTAATACTTCCCCCATGCCTATTTTTTTTTACACATAACATTCAACATTATATTTCATGCACTAAGTTTATTTCTACAATTAATTACTCACACAAAAATACAACTTCCTTCACTCTCCATGCTATTATAAGAATTGATTTAACTCCTGCAGATATTTGAAGATTTTTTACAAAGTGAATTCTAGTAAATATACAATGACCAGAACTATATATCTAGAACCTGTACACACATTAAATACTTTTCCATTAAAAATAAAAATCTATTAAAGTACCATACAGTACTAAATGTTCCTTCTTCACAGTGTTTCATTATTGCACAATTATAGTATGTTGGGTTTGTTTATTAGAAGAGTTAAAACATAACAATACTCACAAAGTTCCTGGGAAGGGAGGAGTTTGTGGCGGTGTGTGTGAGTGACGCGGTCTTGAGTACCCAGGAGCCCCGAGGGAAGTGAGTGTCCCTCCTCTGGATCCACGCCCAGGCAGGAATGGGTCACGCTCTTCAGATGTCCCAGGTTCAGCTCTATGACAACGGGGAAGCAAAAATAAAGAAAAGAAAAATACAGAAATAATAATAAAAGAATCTCCATATCCAAGTTTTTAAGTAAAATTTATGACACTATCAACATTGGACTCTATTCTCAAATTAAATACTGTACTGGACTGTATACCTCACTGGAATGAAAAAATAAATGCACATGTAATAAAACAACATCTCACATCTCAGGGTGACTGGAATCAAGAGTAAACGTCGACTTTTCCTTCACTTGTTGCAATTCATTCACTCTAAACTGCCGTGGTGACATCCCCCATAAAGCACCCACCATCATGCTCCCCTGTCAACCACACCACACACTGCTGCTTCCTCATACAGTACCTCTGTTGTCCCATCCTTCTATCTCCACCTTGGATTTTGTCCTATTCCTCCTTATCATTCATCTCTGACTCATATGTACTGTACTTATAACCAATCTTTTTCTTCCCATTCTCTTGTTATTTCTTTACCTTTACTATACCACCTTAACATACTTTGGTCAGCTCTCAATTTCTCATTCCATCATTTCCATATCTGTCAAATTTCTCAATCTGATGCCCTTACATTTCTACACCTGTCTCATTTCTATGGTTCTCTCACTCTACAGCCTACCTGCCCTAAATATTGTTCTTAAGCACATCATTCATGTTGGTTCTAACATGATTCTTCCCCTTGCACCCAGAGTTCATCATTCACACTCTCATGACAATGTTAGCTCAACAAGTCTTGGATACACCTTCAACTTTGCCGCTTTTGACAAATTTCTCTCTCTCTCCAAGTATATCTCGATGCACCTAGCAATTTCTTTCCCCCGTTTACTCTATAATTCAATTTATCATCCACTGTTCCATTAACTGACACATCCACTCCTGTATATCTGAATTATCACAGTTCCTTCATTTTAAAATTACCATTTAATAACCCTGTCTCATTTCTCTACCTTACTATCATCACCTTTTGTTCGTTCAGTGAATCCCCGAAGATCCGCACTAAAAGGGGGGAGCACCTGTCCAGAAAAGCCGATTGTCCGAATTTTCCGGCGAATAATAAATAATATAAGAAACACCAGAAATACAGTACTAATGTAGTGATAAACAAATTACCATATATAAACCAGGCATTTACCTATGATAACATAATGAGAAACATTGTATCATTACTAGAGTGAATGAAATAATATTCCCACAAACAACAATTGTTAACTCTGTTTATGTTTCCCACCTCCTCGGGCACCTGTGTCCAAGTAACTGATGGGTCAAGCAGCGCCCACAGGCCTAAAATGTTCTTTGCTCTGGTTTGGGAATGTTTCTTAGGGAAACTTCTCGGAGGCTTCTTAGCCCAGAACCCCCAAATTTTTTGTCCGGATCTTCCGAAATCCGTATTTCCAGGGTCCGGATCTTCAAGGGTTTACTGTATAGTATTTACTACTGTATTAACTTTCTCAAAAAAAAACACAAGAAAACAATAAATGGTAATTATTATTAATACCAAACTTAATTATCATGTTAATTTACAGAGAATAAAATGATACATGGGTAGTAAGGAACATATACAATACCCTGTACTGTACTTCCATAATGACCTGTGACCAAACACCCCAACAGCTTGTGTATAATTACACACCAAGCCTTTGGGTGTGGAGTCAGGTAGCTTTACAGCTCTACACATTGGTAGCTGGACAGTTAATCTGACAAAGTTAACCTCAAAAGTAAGAAGATTTACAGTGAACTGTGTCAGGTTTCAGTGCATGAGCCTCACTATTCAGCTGTTCTGGGCAGTAGCCATCTTGAATTTCAGGTTCAGTCTTCAGCATTCTAACTAACTCTCCCATAACTGTTTTTGAAAGTTAAATCCTGAGGCCCCCACTAAATTTGAGGCGCCCAGCTGAGACATAAACAAGCGACAAAAGAAAAAAGAAAGGTCAGAAAACACAGTTCAAGTTTAGAGGAAAGTTTGAAGATTATGATGGTGTAACAAGCATATCTCAAAGGAGCTTTGTTGCTTGCCTTCCTATCACCTGCAGCAACTCATTTGCAGTTGTGGAGAGAGTTATAGGCTGTGGAGAGACTTATAGGCAATGAAGAGTTATTTTATTCTGTGAAAACTGTTATATGCTATGGAAAGAGTTATAGGAAGGGAAAAAAAGAATAACCACAGAAGATTAAATTGACAGCATAAAAAAATATATATATGAACCATAAAATGTACATGAACAGAAAATTGGTGAGAGGAAGGGAGTGAGACTTATAAAAGACATCACAAACAAATGAGAAAGGATTGTAAACTGGCTAAGGAACATTACCTAAAACAAAGGGTACAAGGAAATGATAATGACAGAACACATGACTGAAGGGACATGAATATTCAATTTGCTATAGAAAAAGTAGAGGAGAGGTGGACAGAGTATGTAGAGTAAGTATTCACTGATAATGTCTGAAAAGAAAAGGAAATAAAGAAATAAAGGTTAATGTACCATTATTGAAAACAGAAGACAAGACAGCTGTAACAGAATGAAACATGATGAGGCTTTGGGGGTTTAAAAAGCTTCCCACATGGCTTTTAAAACAAATTGACAAGAACAAATATTGTTCTAAAATATACAGTGTAACTACTGTATTACTAAAATGGTCTTGCTTAATGCTATTATACCTACAAATAAAAAAAAGTGAGTCTTAGAGAGCATCCAGATTAAGCCATTTCAATAAGCCACACATGCAAAGTTTAATTCTTATATTTTAAACAAAATGTATGCATTACAATATAAGACGGAGTTGCATAAAGATGAAAATGGATTTAGAAAGGGACTAAGAACTAGAGACGGTATGATTGGTTTGAAGTTTTTGGGGTAAAAGGATTTTAGAGGTATTGAGAAATTTGGTTGTTTTTCATGGATTTTGAAAAAGTATTTGATAGCATAAGACATAATAAACTTATAGATGTCTCGAGGGAAAAATAGACATTAGTCATGTCATGGAGACACGGCACAGTACTAGAAGATAATCTATTCTTGCCTTGAATTTGTACAAGGCTCAAACCAAGTCTTGGAAAGAGATTTGTGACCACATGAACTTTCCAAGGGACCTCTCGAAACTAGTTTAATCTAACCTTTTTTCTCACTCTTTCAGATAGAAATGGTTTGACGAGATGCAGTTATTTTTCCAGTATTAGGGTAGTTATCAGGAGTCAGGCACATCTGACTCTCCATTCTACCTCAGTGGGGCTGAGGGTCAGCTTCATCAGTTCAAGGCTGATGTCAGATCACTTCAGGTTTGATGAGATAATTCAAAACCACCTTTTAATTTTGTTAATACAGGTAAGTTCTCTTCACCTTTGAAGGACCTTCTTTCTATTGATAGGACATTTTTGTTCCACATGAGAGGACTTTTGTGGTTATATTCAACATCTAACCCACTGATTCCTGGGAGGTATGGGAACTTTTTTTCCTCTCCTATTTTATTCTTTTGCTGTGGACACATGAGAACCTTGGCAGTATCACAGCAGGTCATAACTGGTAGCATTGATCCTGAAATACCACTTGATGACTGAGCCTGAAGAAAGGAAACTTTGATACCCTCCTTCCTTCTTCTCACTAGGCAGTAAGAAGTCAGCTAGAAGGCCGAGGACTGCACCTGATACAGAAGATGATCACGACACTGTCAAGAACAACTGAATAAATGTGTGTGTACTCATTGGTGTGGCAAGACCAGGGACAACTTTTGCTTCTAATCTCCAGCTGATAGATGACCTAAGGGGAGTCATCTAGGGATGCTAACTAGTCACATTAGCTGTCCACACACCAATATATGGGGATGCCTGGGTCCAAACCTAAAGAGTCAGTGGGTGAAACACATGAACCACCTGACATTACAGCTCCATCATGATGGAGGTTTGGTCCTGAAATTCTAATTTTGAAATGATATAACAGCCAGGTGGCTCAGGACTGTGTCAGCCTCTCAGGGGCTTAGCCTTCACATCCAGCACCCATCTGAGAACTGGGGGCTGGTCCTATGACCACTGATCTTTCCTCATCACAACCATCCTCCTCAGAAGAGGAAGATTATTAGAAAATGAGGTCTTATCAGAGTGGACCTACAGTATCTAGTCAGTGCCTCACACTAATGGTATCGGATGCCATTTTTTTATTCCCAGACTAATCTAGTTTCAGTTTCCAACCAAAGGGAGGGGTGTGATAGCCAGGTACTCAACACACTACTGGTTGGTTGCACTTTTAGCCAGCTTAATCTGTAAAACTGAATATCACCTTTTCATGTCAAGATTGAAAGAAATCATCAGAAAACCAAAACAAAGTAGAGAAAAACATTATGTATATCATTCCCATTTTCCAGGTAATTTTGGTTCCCTGGTACATTATTCTGAGCTGAGATGCAGAGAAGGTAAACCCCAGGTAAATGGTGTGATAAATGTAAATTCTGTTGAAGGTCTCCTGGAAGTTAGGAGTGTGAGTGCCCAGGTTAGTGTTCAATAAATATTCAAACATGCAGATTCTCTATAATAAATGTGATTTTACTATGAGTCTCAAAATCAAACTGAGAGCCTTACTTTAACACCAAAGGAAGACTGGCATTGTTTGTGGGGTCATGGGAAGAGGACAGCCATGTTAGGTCAACTTGGAACACAACACCAATTTTGGGTCACAGGATGGGGAAGGTCATGTGAAATCAATAAGGTAGAGAAACACTGGTGACTGTCCTGTGGTGAGGCAGGTTGTGTGATGTCAACACAGGCCAGTGATCAAGGAGACGCATGGCTCACTCATCGAGGCTGTTGGTCCTGCCTCGTTATGTGTTAATTATACGATGAATCATCTCCATCTGATGTATTGTCCCAGAGTGTTGGGTGAGGAGACTAGTGCAACACAAAGTCTTTATTATGAATAATAATTTTTTTTCTCCTTTTTCATCATTATAACCTAATTTTTCAGTGAATTATTTTATTACTATGCCACAGGTCATCTATTGACTTTATTT